TCACATTATCAGTATCCGAACCCTCAAACATGTATCCGCATTGAATTTGTATTTCACGTGCACGTCGCGTGTCACGAGAGGCCTCATTGTTGCCGGAACATTGTTTCGATTAGTTCATGTGAAAATTGGTTAAATCAGGACGTGACAACAATCAAAGACGTTACGAGAACTCATAGACAGTGGAATAATGTTGACTGTTAGGTCTTATGTGGAGGCCTGCACTTAGTCAAGCTAGTATATTATATCGTTCATTCATTGGGTTGTTCCAATGCGGCATAATAGATTCTATATTCGTCGTTATAAATAATTTGTGAATTTTTCACACCAGGATATGCAGCCACACATTTGAGGCGGCAGGGGATACCAACGTGTACTAAGGTAAAGCCAATTTTTTTAAAATTTCCACATGATAATTCGTTGTTTGTGTCGGTTATCACATGGTGCTGACACCTAAACTAACGGGACCTTATGTGGTTCGCCACTCCAAGTCCCGGGTATTAGGTTACCGGTTTCCATCAATGAACAGCAGGTCTTCGTTACTATCGGGCTTTCCCCATCTGCTGTTCATCACACGAAAATGTGTAATAAAAAAAGTCTGTCCTTTTCTCAGGGTTCTATCCTTCGTGTTTGTTCGGCAGCTGTAAGGCCTTCTAAAATCCAGCTCACCTATCTGTTCTCACCAGATAACTTCTGTCGGTTGAAGAAAGATTTGCTGAGATTGATGTGTAAATGATCTTTTGTATTCCTTAAACGTGTTTTGCTGTATGATCAATGCGAATACTTCTTTTCATATGTAGAAAGAAATCCAGCAGACAGAGCACAGAGCGGAGCATCTACAGTTGAAATTCCCGCTGGAATTTGAACCTGTGATATGTTGTGTCGTAAATACGTCCCAGTAATCAGCACATCTTTTTCCTGTGATGACCTCACTGTTATCTGGAGTATCGTTTTGGATGGTCCACTTGATTGATGTGTGTATTTTGTCCACTTTTGTGTGCTGATCCAATTGAAAAATTATTTGCTGTTTTTTCTCTTCAGTACCCTAGTGTGCTGCTAGGTACGGAATAAAATCGCAGTTTATTGCGAAATCACACAGAGTTGGTTCAAATCCTCGACGAGAATATTGCTCGTATTTGCCTTTAAATTATTCCTGTCGAACCGAGAAGTTATGCTCCACCCATTGTTGCATGAGCATTCTCATACCGGAGGTTCTGTAGGCGCCAAATAATTCCAGTTCCTCTGGAAGTGAGCCAGATATCGTTCTTATTCCAGATTGCGGTTATCGAAAGAGCCCCAGTGCAAGCGATGCGCAGGTGATTCAGTGAGTAAATAGTGAGACTTGTCTTTGATTGACCAGTCAGCGCACATATGCCTCAGCTGAAACTTTGGCGATCAACGAATGTTGTCCATAATTCAATAAATCACTGGTGAAGTTCTACCGCCAATCCTCACTTTCATCTTTTCCGTCGTTATTAAGATGCATGATTTCTGTCATAGGTCTTCACTGAACACCTGATTTGATTTTTTAATGTCCTTCAGAAAGAAGGCCAAAAGAAGGAGATATTCCACCGATTACTAGAAAAGAATGGTTGAAGACTTCCGAGGAAAGAATCCCACGGTTTTGGGCACTGAGATAAAGCTTCATTTCCAAATGATCCGAAAGTGGTGGGGGGGGGCAGTACGGTGGCCTCGGTAAACAAGTGGATAAGTAAAGTGCTTTGAATTGCCGATGTGGATCTTGTAGGCAACCATCATTTCCTAAAATGAAGGCATGATCTGTGAACGGAGTACTAGCAAAAGAGCGAAAATATCCAGTGTGTTCAGGGTTTCTACTCAAGCATTTTCCCTAACAATAGTGCCAAATTTTGACTTATGCTGAAGACAATTCTAAGCATCATAACACTGACTAAGTAGATTTCTTCAACTATACCCTGTCTCTAGGACGATCAACTACACTGTTCAAGCTGGAAGACACTAAAACCATTAGACATGTAACTGTATTCAGATAGTGTGTGAATGGCGGAAAGTTTTCCGAATAGCATTGGTTTTTAGGTGCCTCTTCAATCTAGATGTCCAGAACTGGTTGTGAAAGTACGCACACGTTTGCGATATTTTGGCAGTTTATCTAGATAAGCAGAAAACTTCACTTATAATCATTACTAAGGGCAAGAAAGATTAGATTGAACGCGTTTCTTTGATGTTTACGTTTACGCTGCACACAAGCGGTTCCAAGGAAGTGGGTCAATTCAATACTGTCTCTTACTGTATAATATTTTGTTATCCCAGTTATCTACCATTTAAACTGGTTCACCTTCTTTCCACTTTGTTCTGTATTCCAATCCACCAACCCCTATTATTGTTATTGTTGGGGCGTTGGCACCATACAAATTGTATGCAGTAACCAACAACGGCTTTTGCCATGGAATTCACTCTGCATCCATCTCAGTTCAGCTCGGTTTGTACAACCATTATCCATGCACCTTTTTTCAGCGGTTTTGGTTACTGTTTTTAGCCTGCTTACTTTGCATTGTGCCATAACTCATTTGCGTCAAGTCCTGTCCAGACCACCGCAAAGTATCTGAATCAGCAATCGCTTTCATTTTCCTCTGTTTTCATCTGTTGAACGTATTGCACCCATCAGGTTGACCGTCCCTCATTTCCGTGCTCATGCTCGACTGCTAGTTGTCAGAACCCGAACGGTCGTACCGAGTTCTCTCAGGATCAAGTACGGACATACGTGAAGAATGTGCTGCAACGGGTAAGTGGCGGAAATTCCAATAGAGAAGGTTATTCCATCCCCGTAACGTTTGTCACGGCCTTAGTTATTTCTCTTTCCATCGTCAATGCCTTTCTGAATAGCAGTAAGATGGGTCTTTTTCTTTCCACAGTAGACACTATGCAGGCTACAACATTTCCTATAGGTTTTGAGACCCCTTGGACGTTTGTTGCCTATACATCAACCGCGTGCACAACCAATTTTATAAAATCATTTAATTCTACACTCGACCGGTACATCCACCAGCAGGACGGAAGCAACTGGAGTGACAAAACGACTTTGGACAACAAGTACGATCATGAAAGGAACATTGCAAATTGTATGGACAAATGCTCCCCTTTTATCGCAGTACCGTTGTATTTCTTTTTTGTTTTTGTGTCACGAAACAAGTTTTCCGTACTTTTTAAACTGATTTTTCGCTCTCCTAAGGGGCCATATTCTGTGAACGACCAAAGCTCTATCCTGCATAGGATAAAATGAAAGCAGTAGTCGGGATCACCTGATCACGGATAACGCTTACTTTCTAAGTCATGCAACTAACCGCCGATTCATTCACTCTCGTGGCTATGGTGAGAACAGCCGGTTAGACTGTTTTGATGTCTTAACCGATAGCTCATGCCGAAGGTGCGAACGAGGTTCGTCCGAATGAATGCCCTACACATTTACCTGATGCCTTCATGCTCACCCCGGCATTACCATAGACAGAAAAAAGTGACGACGTGCCCTTTTTACGGGCTGGACTAAGGGATATAGACATTCGAGCCCATGGAGTGATTGCCTTACCTCAAATTGGAAACGATACCAGTAAACGATTGCGTCAGATGCCTAACTCGATCAGCGTTTCAAGCCCTACATCACACCTGTCTTAGTCCAGGCGATGTGACAAACACTAAGCCGTTCACTAAGGCACCGACTTCAGTTTCGCTCCCAACATTAGACCAGATTCAAATAACCGACTTGAATCGTTCTAAACTGTAACGAAAACTGAAATAAGATGATCCCATATGTCGGATGTTGGGACTGTCTTCAATTCATGTGATCTCAATTGGGCAATACCATTCGAATCTGCAGAGTCACTGCGAAATTGGTTTCACTGGTGAGAATGCTAAGACAAGGTTTTTAAAGGACTGCATAGCACAACTGCTCTTCTCTATGAAACGTTTACCAAGGTGAAATGAATGATGAGGGCGAATCGTGTTATCACCATTAGTTGGTCATAAGTTCGTGGCAATTTAGATAGGTACCGTAAGCAGATATCTTTTAGTGCTTCTGTATCTATCATCTCACACACTTGTGACTTGATTTTACTTCAATACAATCGTCTAAAATTCGTTTCGACATCTGACTGCTTTATTCAGTAATCCAGTAAATAACATTCGTGCTATGTTATTTCTTTCATATTTTCCACGGTAAAATAACACAAAAGTCGAACTGTTTACGGTGAAACCAAACGTGTAGTCGCTTTTATTATGTTGTTATCCATTTTAACTGTTTAGCCTCTATATTGTTCTCTTCAGTATCCCAATTACCCCATCCCGTTACAGCTACTATTGTTGTGGCGTTGACACCATAATTACTTGCAAGCTGGTTATATATTATTATTATTATATATATTGTATATATACATTATATATATATATATATGCAGAGAGGGAGGGGTGGAAGCGTGTAAAATGCTTTGTGTAGCACTCAGAGAATTCATTCACGGAGACCACCTACTCCTTCTGACGTATTTATTTTTTATCCTAAAGAGAAAATCATTTGCGGTTAGTCGAAAGTTCTGCTTATTAGACCAATAGAGAATGAGTTTGAAAAGTAAAGGAAATATTTATCGCTAGTTGTACAGTGTGGAATATGAAGAAATTTGACGGTAGTAGGATGATGCGGATATTTTTTCACACGTTGTAATGTTCCCTTCGGTAGTTATGCTTCACGGAAAAAGGGTGTGTGTAATATGCTTCCATCACCTAACTGTAGTGCGACCGTCTTGTCCTTCGACTAAGTGTTCTGTGTCAGTCATCAAGTGGTACGTGAATCGCCGTGGTGTCGGTCCTTAGTTGTTCCAAACCCCGTCGTAGCTGTTTAGCTGTTCTCCTTTATAATGTTCCCTGGCAGTTGTTATTGGATGTGCTCTCCCTTCTGCTCTGAGATACCGGTTGTGCATCCTTTTTTGCGCCAAAGAGAACAAATGCAAAGCATTAATTTGTGATTTTCGGTGATCTTAATGGACTCATCGGTACAAAATCGTAGGATATGGATTTTGGACTCTCATAGCTATTCAGGTTCCGTTCTTCCACGTACCATACCGGAATTTGCAACCATTGTCCACTTTCTGTTGCATTTACCACAGTTTTCCAAAGGAAACGAAGATCAGTGCAATGTCGATGAGCCCCCAATAGCTACTCTACCCAACGGGGACAATTGTCCTCCTTTCATCCGACCCCGCTCGCCAGATATACACAATTCCATGAGCAATCCTACATCCACAGATTTGTTACCGCACACGCAACTTAACGTTTCTGTTGATCCAAACGTGCCTCCGAGTTCCACTCCGAGTCTTTGCCGTTCCGCACAGCAACCCGATGACCGAGGTTCAGTCATGCTCAGTTCCCTCAAATGGATCTCGTCTACTCCCGCTCCGCACGAACACAATGTCCGTCAGGTTCTGTTTGGTGATTCACCGAACAAATCTATGCTTAACCTGGATGCGACGGTTTCACTTCCGAGACTGACTTCTCCCGAAGCTGTCACATCCTCCCGCCTTATAGAGCCGGTGGCAATTGATTTAGTAAGTGGTCTTCTTTTCTGTTTTCCTGGTCTGAGAGCGCTTTTTAATCTATGTTTAATAGTCATTTCCGCAGACGTTCCTCCATAACCATGATTTTTGATATCGTAATACATCACAATATCGTTATTGGTTTCACTGTGAGTGTGTGGAAGACGGGTGGGGGCAATCACTAATAAATGCCGAACAATGATGGAAATTCGGCAAATTAAAAGAGATCAGCTGGCGCTGTTGTTACCCGAAATTTCTTCCAAAATGCATAATGTAGGCGGGAAATAGATTTCAGGTCAATGTGATGTTCAAAAGTTGGTTGAACACTCTGAGCTGTTCTTCAAGAATTTAATTATAAAACTAACTGACAGACCGGAATCTGGTTGACCGCTGTGTTACCGCTGGTTACTGCGATGTATTATTCCATTCCCGCAGACTCACATCCGCACAATTTTTCCATCAACTAACGTCCTCGTGCACAGTTTCCTGGTCGAGAATATAGACGGAATGCTTTTCAGCATTGTTTCTGAGGTTGGGTGTTGTAGCTTCAGAACACGTAACGGATTTTCGACGACGACCAAAGCATAGGATGCACGTAAAAAAATGAAATTTTATCGGGAAGAGCTGTGAATGCTGCTTGTTCCTTTGTTTTCGTTAGCACAAATAGTTCTCCTTTCATTGATTTACCAGATTGGCGCTGCGCGGAAACAGTTTGTACAACCATGCACCAACGATAATCCCCATCCGTTGGGTCCCAACCGGGATGAGAGGCAGCATAGATCTAAGCCAACAGAAAACAGATAAAGTGAAACGAAAGAAAAAGATGATGCTATCAAAACACGAAGTATTTAAATACGATGGAAATGTTTGTGATAACCGGCAAAGAGCACTAGGCAGCCGCTTCGTCCAAGGAGCGATGCCCACACCCAAGATCATCAACAGTGCCTGGTGCCTGAACAATCGAATGGGCTAATCCAAAAATTCACCATCTGAAATGAATTATTCAATTTTTTATTTCGCACCAAAGACCCAATGAATGACAAATCTTCCCGTTTATCGTTCTCCAGCTACTCAAAGGGATTACGTAGCCGGAGATTTAAGCTCAAGACAATTCAAAGCGATTACAGTGCACACCGCTGGACACTCCTTTTTTACACTAGCTGCGAGGAATGGCTGTGAATGTCTTCTGTATAGCCGTATTAATTCGCAATATACACTAGTTAAATCCTCTAAAAAAATCAGGATTTGTTACGATCTTTCGTTCAGGTTTAAATCTACAAAGACTGGTTCTAAATACTACGATGTAATAATTTTCTCCATTGTTTCTTTTGCGTTTGCTGTTTTGTATTAAGCATAGTTTAAATTAATCTGAGTAGTCAGTATGTAAATGTTTCCAACCGGGTCATAACCCCGAAGGTTAGTGCTGAGAGATCCATGGCCCGCAACAAGCTCGCAAAGATGGGTTGCGCTATATCGTGTAAATGGAAAATAGAAAACGGTCTGACCAGCTACCCGATAGCCGAGTGGGTAGCATGTTTGCGTTCTGCCTGTGAGATTCCGGGTTTGATTCCCAGTTGGGTCGATGGATTCACACACTGCATTGATGAGACCCAATCAAGTCGAAACAGCTGTAGAGTATGCTTCCTAGCTTTTCACTCTTCGTTTCATTTGCTCAATGCATAACGAATTCCTTCTATGATAATAATGTGAGATATTTTTCTTCTCACAGACCCTATCGGACTCGGAGTGTTGTGATGAAAACGCTGTGACCACCCCTCCTTCATCCCGCTCAAGAAAACTGGAAGGCCTTGGCAAAGGCAAACGCCACTGTCGAACACCGATTCCACGAAGACGAAACTTACATATGCGACCCAACGATATGCGATTGTTCAGCAAATCAATGAGCGCTGTTACTGACCGGAAACCGGACATTTGCATTGATGACGCGTGCGTCCACGTGAATAGTACCGCCGGTAACATCCGTTTACCCAAGGATTCTACCAATGCCCTCCCCGGCAACGTGACACCTCCTTTGACGTCGTCCGCTGTTGCATCCCCAGTTCCCGAACAACGTCCCATTCACTTGGTGTGGGAAGCATTGTTCGAAGCCACTCAACTACTTCCCAACTCCCAGCTGAATAGTCATGACGGTGCGTCTGCGCGATTGTCATCCACTGTTCCATTGGGACAACTGATGGAGCGCTCGTTGCTCGCGGATGTCAGTGCTTCTGCCCCGTGTGTTTCACCCGTGAAGAGCGCAAGCAAATTGCCACTTCGCAGTTATGCCTCTTATCGTATGAAAGGTGAGGACAGAGGAGCATTATTACATGGGATAAATGTATCTGATGCTCTGCGCAACCTTACCTTCACTTCATTATCACGAGCAAGAGTTTTGTACCTTCAAATTCGCTCCTCTTCTGATTCTCTTGTTTGGAAAACAACGGACCGAATGTTCACGCTTGGATGAATGATTGCTGATTATGCCAACTGGGCTGTTTGCTTTGTCTTCACAGATCTCACTTATTGAAAAATGTTGAGAATATCCCGGTATACGTGCTCTGTATGTAACTCCTTCGCTACCCACGTTAGGGTCAGCTGATTCCTGGTTCCTGCCGTTTTCAAGTCAGTTGTTACCGTACCTATTTGAGCTAAATTATTCAAATAAATATAAGCGTAATTTGTTTCGCATGTGCTAACAGATCGAAAGCGACGTCCAGATTCACGGTCGTCCGGTTCAATACCACGCCACTCCAAGTCCCGCGGGGCTCAGGTTGCCGGTCGGCATCACTGAATGATAGGTCTTCGCAACCATAAGGCCCACACCGTCTGCTGTTCATCACACAAATGTGTGTGACAAAAAAATACACCGATTGCGGACGGATCCACCGCATATTTATCCTTAGTCCAGGTCACAAGGTATAAAAAACACAATCGACCCAACATTGTCTCAGATTCGATTCTGCCCAAAAATTCGACTGTGAGATCAACTGCCACATAGGTTACTTGTTTGTTAGAAGAGGTTCACTCCCGGTAACAACTTACAGATAAATATTAAGAAACAGAGAGCTATCTGATTACTGCGTAACACATGTGATTTCCCCTTGGACAGGATGAAATAAAATGAGAATAGCCAATGTAATCATCTGTCGGTGTTTCTACACGTAGCGTATTTGGCTAGAGACAGTTAATGCAACCGGGTGGCGCCGTGAGCTCTGCTGAACGATGAATTTTATTACACTTAAGTGTGATGAACAACAGACGGGGCGGACCCCATAGTCACGAGGACCTGCTGTTCTGTGGTGGGAATCGGTAATCTAAGCCCTGGGGCTTGGAGTTACGAACCACATAAAGCCGCGCTAAGTTAAGCGTGGTGTTGAACCAGATGAATGCTGATAGTTGTTGGGTTACCGCTTGTTTCCCGAGGGGGGGGGGGGAGGGCAAGGGGCTAGACAACCTTATATGGGTGGTATAGTATCTCCGAGTGAGGATCAGAACATGTTGATCAACAACGGGCTTTACTAATCACGCCGCTGTTGTTCAAACTTTGCATGTTCTTGAAGAAGAAGAAGAAGAAACGCCCAAAATATGAATTCTATCAATCACTCGTAGAAATATCGCAAAAATTCGGCTTGATTGCGTCAACTAAAGGAGTGAATCCCTTCCCCGTTGGTGTTGGTATTTATTTCGCTCGACCAATTGTTACCACTATTATCCTAACTGGCTGTTTGCTCCGCCTGATAACGCAGTTTCAGCGCATCAGATATGAAACATGGCATCGACAAGAACGGTAGGTTAATCTCTGGGTAAAAAGTTTATTTGGAAATGTATCACGGCCATTGATGTTGTACAAATTATGGTAGATTCTAACTTGTTCACAACTGTTCCCGGGTTCGGGATTGCGGGTAGCGTACAACATTGCGCACTCAATGAGGAGTACCCATGCACTGAGCTGGGTAACGTGGATTAATTGATTCTTCTATCAGGATTCGCACACACACAAAGGGTGGGGGAGGAGTTCACACGGAAGCTGCGTTCATTTTGAATACTATATTGATTCGTAGAACCCACCGCGTGTGAATTGGAAAGTCGATTTCTGTTCATCAGACTCAAACCCTGATTTTAAACCAACATACAAGTGTCTGGCAGTAGTCACCTGCTCGATTGGACACCAATTCCTTGTGTGACGCGTGTTATCCACTTAACTGGAGATTGATTCCCCATAAATTGCGGGGCATCAGGCTTTGACTAGCCATAACAATCTCCAGTTGTAAATCCCTTCGTCGAATTCTCCGGCCGCGAGGCCGGGACAACTTGGCAGTATTTCGCACGCAAAAAAACTGCAGACTGATTTCTTGGACATAATAAGTGTAGTATCGTAAATATTTAACAAACAATTTGAATTCAGACGGGTGGGATATTAGAATAGTAATCTGGTTCTCTCGTTTCCAGTCCTATCGAATAAATAAATAATTCACCACATCGCCGAAGGAGGTTTCTTTTTATGTAGCACGGTTTAGTTTTGGATTTCGGCGAGCCACGAACAGCAATCTCAGTGATTGTTTAACGGAATAATAAACTATATTTTTTATTACAATTTTTTTGAGATGAATAGCAGACGTGGGAGCCCCATAGTCGCGTAGATCTGCTATGCTGTGATGGAAACCGCGAACCAAAGTCCGAGGACGTGGATCGGTGAACCGCATAAAGCCCCACTAGGTCAGGCGTGGTATTAGACCGGACGACGACAAAACTGCCTACCTGTGCCAAATGCTTTTGTACAATGGCAGTTGCTCTAGTTGCGCTCAGTTCGTCAGGATTCACAAGGAATATAACGAGCATTCACGACCGAGTATGCACTTATGGAGTTCGACAACTGACTCCTTCAGAATGCAGCCAACTCATAGCGTGCAAACACAATGTTCTGTCCGAACAGCATGTTCTTTCTGGGGGAAGCATAATCACATGGAAACTCGCTCCGATGAATCAACATGTTGATTAATTGATTAGGACTGACCATCCTTCAGACTTCACCTTCACGCGCATTTTTCAGCTCTTCCAGGCAAACATACATTCGGAAGCACTAGAGTGTCTTATTAGAGCTCATCAGTAGCACATATCCACAGTCCCGTCCGGGATTTGAACTCAACATGTACTCTAGCTTTTTAGGTGTTTCTTTATGGTGTGGTATGTTGGTAATTGTTGAAAACGGACTATCCGTAAAACTGTTCACCATTCACCTGCCATGCTCAAGCTGTGAGGTTTCCCTTCACCTCTTTTTTTCGGGGAGAGGGGATAAACTATAGACCGTTTGTAAAGATCCGCAGTTCTGTCGTAAAAACAGAAAACTTGATGCAGAGAATTTATTAATATCAGAATGAGGCCGTTGAACTAGGTATTAGGTGAGGTGTTTGCCACGAAGAATAGGCGGGAGAGCCACCAGCTGAGCTTTGAACCATCAAAAGCGATATACGTCAGTGACGACGGATAACGTCAATCAACCACTGCCAAATTGCGCTTTATTTCTCTTCCCCACTTAAGTTTGCCACTCCAATGTTTTTCTGCTTCATGAAGGTAGCAAAAGCCATATAACACTAATTACCAGTAATGCACGATCCTCCTGATGCTGACCTCACGGGCCTATTGTTCGCGTGAAGTCCATTTTAAATCAACACGGTCACATTATACGTCTCGTCGCGTATTACTGGTGCTTCTGATGTGCTTTTTTTTCGGATGAATTTTCCTCCACAAATTATTCGTATGATTTCATTGCCCAAGGTCACTTATTGTATTATGATGCCATCACGTAGTTAATTGTCATTTTCGGTTTCTTTTCTAACCTTGATCACTAGGACCCTCGTTTACATCAAAATCGGCTCCGAACAGTCCTTGTTCCGCTACGAGTCCATCCCTCGGACGTTTGTCCTTAAGACGTCGGGCCATTCCTCGTCTCCCTGTTACTCCATCTCGTCGCTTGCCTCGTTCACCCCGCACACCAAATTGTCGGCTTGCTCAAAACACCAGGCCCGTTCATCGACGATCTATCATCCATAGCATGTCTGTTTGCCAAGACGTGACTGCCGATCCGGAACTAGCAGCGAACTGCACTCCCGAGGCCAAAACGAAACCAATTTGTACATCCTTGTTTGAACCCGCTATGTCTCGAGAAGCGAGTTGTGCAACTTCAGGTCAAGACACATCCGTTCTCCCAATACCACCAGCTGCTTCTCCTGTTACATCGAATTTTTGATCCTCATGTTTATCAGTTCAAGATTTCCCCCACCTCCTCACTCGGACTGTCAGTCGCTTAATTGGTCTGCTTCCAAGCAAGCGCATCTCTCATAGATCCGTGATGTTTCTTCCGTTCGCCTCATGCAATGTTTTGTGGCTCACCTGTTTGAGCTCGCTGGTGATGATTTACCAATTCAGCTGAAGACTTCGGAGGCTTTCCGTGAGGGGGAAGCTTGTGTTTGTGTTAATTGACTTCCGGTCAGGTGACAACGCATGTGGTTCATTCCGACTTCGTTGTTCCGTTTTGTGCATTCCATCAGATGTACAGCAAATAAACTTATTCCGATTGAATGCAACTCTTTCGTTGCACACGTTTCTGCTTTCAGTTGTCTGTTCACTGCAATATTATGAGAGCGACCCAAAAGATTAGATTTCAGGGTAAATCCAATTACCGCGTACCGTGGAGCGCCCTGGTTCATTTGAGGACTGTTAGTGGGACTCTGTGCCAAACTCAATCGTTTAGGCTTTTTAATAGTGACACAAATTTGGTGTCGTGATGGCGTAGTGGTTTAGTCATCACCGGCGTGCTTTGAGTCCCATGGTCCGAAATTCGCGGCCCGCCACCCGCCACAGCTCTGCTGTCGTCCGGTTCAATACCACGCCTAACCTATAGGGTCCTTGTGTGTTTCGCAACTCCAAGTCCCGGGGCTGTTTGCCGGTTTCCACCACAGAACAGCAGGTCCTCGTGACTATGGGGTTCGCCCCGTCTGCTGTTCATAACACTTAGATGTGTATTAAAAAAATTTACTTGTTGTGGTTGTTATCGTAACCCATCAGCACATTCATCCTCGGACGCCACATATCGTCATCCGATGGTTTCATAGGTGTATCATAGGATTCTACGCACAAGCTTCCCAACACCCGTGTGTTTGTGCCTGTGGTTCCTAACATTTCGACGAATGGTAACATTCGCATTTACGATTCAAGTTATGCGTGCCACAACAACAATTCCACATCGTGATTGTTCCTTCTTTTCAGCCTCCAGGCCGAATGCACTTATGTCCAACAGTCGTTTGAGAACGCGCGATGATCCCGTCCAGATCTGGTCAAGTGTAAATCAGGATCCATTGGCGGATGAAGTGGTTTGGGATGACTCCGAACTGGTCGCCCACTATGACCGTGTAGATGCTTTTGTCAAGGTAGATTTTTTTCACATCATTGCCACTTTTCATGCAGGAGGAGATGGCCCATATTTGTTTTCTGTTATCATTACTCATTTTACTCTTTGTGTTTGAGTGTATTTCAGCCTCATTTTGTTGGTTTTAGCTGCATACTGTACATAGGCTCGATCAGGTCCGGTTCTTGTGCACTGAGCTATACCACTCACTGGCAGGACGCATTAGTCTCTTTCATACAGGAATCAATTGTATAGCGGTGTATTGTGTGAAATAAATGTGCGGCCTTCCGCACATTTTATACTTTCACTCCCCCCCCTCTCACGGAATATTTGTATGGATCACACTCACGAGTACCTGTACCTGTCGTGTATGGTTAATTGATGTGAATCACCGACAACCCAAACCCTGGGGTTGTTGTGCTGGTGAAATAGTCTAGGACCTCAGGGAGTAGATTACTGTGGTCTCATGCATACATACGTATGATACTCACATATCATCTTTCGATGCTAATGATCATGGTGAGTTATGGCACACATTATTCTTTTGGATCGTTTGCTCCAGTGCATCATCTATCTATGCTCGATATTTCTTAGGTTTCCTATTTGTTTGCCTGTAAGACCTGAGTCGCAAATGGAATCTGTGGTGCGAACGATGGATTTCACAGTATTTCCAAATCTCAGATCGGAAGGTCATCGATGTATACACCACAGTTGTTCGCTTCAGAATGTATGAATAGGACTCAGTTACCTCGTTTTCAACTGAGTAGTTAGCATAAAACTCAAAACCAGATATGCAGTAAGTTTCTGTTATGTAAAAATACGAACGTTAGTTAGTGGTGATTATTTAATCTATCCCCGGGGTTCTTACCACCATCCCCCCCTACCTTTATCTCGTTCATTTGGTGCACAGAAAAAGTTGAACGCTTTGTACGCAGCTCAAAAAGAAGCAGCCAAACCTGTCGAACCGAGACCGCGATCGACCATCAATTTACGAAGGTCCGGGTCCACACACGAATCTTCTCCGCTGAAGCGGGTAAGCACAGGTGTATTGAGTTTCGGTTCATCGTGAGTCAGGGCTTACCACAAAGTCTACGGGACAACTCTGGTCTGCCTGTTTTCTTTTATGCATTATTTACCACTCCATCGCCTCGTAACAAAAACTGTGGTCCTGAAGTTGCTCAACCGTCAGAGATCGCAACATTTCAATTTAGCCAACCCCGTTTGTTCATCTTTTTGTTACTCACCTTTTGTGTGATGAAGAACCGACAGAGTATACCCCTTAGTCCTATGTGATACGATCTCCAGTTGCATAAGCAGTTTTCATGCGATCTGTTATCCAGTCCGCACACGCGCTGTTTCATCTTTTCGTGGAACATGTATTGTAATCAATGAAGCACATTCTGTTTCTCAATTGACTGAACGTCACATGAGGATTTCATTCGAATTGAACGACTGGGTGTCTTTCGAGGAACGAACTATGCAAATCGATCGTATGGATAGGAGGAACAGTATTTTCGTTATTCAGACATGCTTGTCCAAAATGTTTGGAAACATTCTGTGAAACAGTCCCGGTGCAGCATGGTGCCCGATTCATCTGATCGAAAGGTCAGAGTAGACTGATGCTTCTGGACGGCATTTTCAAGGTCAGGGTTAGCTAGACTTCGCAGTGCGATGCATTTAGCTACTGTTGAGAACATCGAAAAGACGACAGCGCATGTGCCGATTTCTTCCTTTTAGCACACGAGTTTTATGCAGATCGCGGTACAATGATGCTCCTGTGGCCACCTATATCAACTAATCACTATCAGAGGATCAGAGGCAGCGATACAAATCAATGGGCCTTTCTGACACTACCTTGATGGAGGACTTGAACTGTATGGAGAACAAAATTCAGGCGATTGGTGTCGAGCGTGAGTCCATGGGTTGGTTTTGTCATATCACCCAAAGGGAACCAGTGAGTGACCGTTGGAAAACGGTCACAACATAATATTGTGGTTTCAATAAAGGATTTTATTCATGCAGGACGTTTCAAGCATTTCGCAGAATTGGTGTGTTTTTGTCGAATACTGTCGTTGTGTGTCCTAATTCATTTTTCTTACGCCCGAAGTTTTTCTTTCATGTTAAGGAAATAGTCCGTGCTTATCAGATACCCAACACAGAGATAACTATCGAAAACCCAAACATGGAAGTATACAGTGGATGTATTTACACCGTGAATGCTTGGGTTGATTGAGCCATTGGCGCAAGGTGATGATCGTCGACCGTTTAGCTCAAGGGTAAGGGTTTGAAATCCCAGCTCGAAGAATCGCGGTTCGAGTCCTAACAGGGACACAAAAGGTACGCACTGCTGACGAATCCCAAACAGGACGAAACAGTTGTCCAGTGCTCATTGTCGGTTATCATAAACAAAAAAGTCAAGGGTGGTCAAGCTAAGACCTGGCACGAGGGTATGAAAACCCTAACTAGGGGACTGGGTCACATAGGTCCTGTTAGGCTCCCTGGCTGGGGACCTCGGGATGATCGTAACCGATAGTTAGAGACACTAAGTGATATGGCTGGGTATCGCGACCAGTGGCGTTCGTGCATTTTCTCAATCTCTTTGCAACCTTAGACCACTGAAATTCTCCATTTTCTTTTCGACTCCACTTTCAAGTTTCCTTCTCCTATTCTTCATCCAAATGGGCAGCCAAAAGATAGCAACCAAAACCGGCGCACGGAGGTGCATGGTTAATGGTTGTTCAAACTGAAACTGAAACTATCATAAACATTTCCATCGCATTTATATATAGTTTATGCTTCTTCAAATTGGATCGTTAATTCCGATTGACATACGTGTTCATGTATATATCAGATATTAATCTCACTTTTTCGTGTAGCTTGAACTCAGCAGCTCTGGTGCGTAAACAAACACAGACCTACAGTTTCCCCGCCTTCCATGCATGCGGTGGTGACCAGTTGGTAACGTCACCAAATTGTCACCCTGAAAAAGGTGTGTTTGAACCCCGCGTCCTCCGCCCGACTTTCCCCATTGTGTGTTGTAGAACCGCTTACTCTTTCGTATGCGATTGACAGTCCCTTACTCCAGAGTTGATGGTGATGTTGATTGAGCCTCGACTGATCACTTTCACGTTGTTTCCAGCTAGAACGGGGTGGTTGTCACGTTTGTTGAGTGGACTGCATGTGTTTGATGTGCATAGTCCACGACTTTAGGAGGGTGTTCAGACTAGCTCTTTCTCTCTCGTCCTACAAATAGAAATATCAATTTTTCCAACTGTGATGCCGAGTCATACAACTTTGGTACAGTAGTCAGAATATGGACGAATCACAATTACTGGCTATCTTAGGCTGGAATCTCCCGCTAGCGAACCGCAGGATTAAGACCACAGAAGTAACGGATAGTTTATTAAAAAGAAACCAATGGGACTAAGTAACATGTACAAACAGGGCTTCGCCAATAACTTGTTTGAATTTTTGACGTCACACAACTTCCGTTTGAACCGTACAGATTCTGATTGATTGGTACTATTTTTGGCCTGTATCTCAAATAACGTCTGTTTCTTCAGGTTTCAGTTGAATAAACATAACTACTACTCGTTGATTTTCCCCACGCAGAGGAATACCGATCGGTCGGACAGACGACGACTCCCGCTACATGGTCAGGTATTGCAACGCGAACGACCGGTTTACGCCGTACCGGTTTCCAACGCCTCCCATAGTCTGGAGGCAGCACTACACTCCGAACGACCTGAGCCTGTTTTAAAATGTGACTTTCAGTGGATTCCTCCGACTCTTTATCCTCCGGATGACCTGTTCCGGAAGCGTCCAACCCCACGGTAACTTTTTTTTGCGGGCCGAACTGTCCACCTGGTTTCGCAGTCATTCTTCCCATTCGTGATGATTTCGGGCAGTTGTCTCGTTTCCCGTAGTGTCTTTGTACCGTCGTGTGCATCCAGTCTTGATGTTTTATTTCACTCCAGGTTGTGAGTAGACGTGGGTTGATCTCGTTGGACTGTTTGGATCTAACCTTCATTCTTCAGCGCTATTCTATTTCTTCGGATAATGCTCGATTATGACATGCACGCCCCTGGGTCCATTTTGCTACTCGTTTGATCTAAGTAGGCTAAAGCACACTATTGGGAATCCGCCCTAATTGGTCCAGTCGGATGCACTCGAGCACTCGTATCCTGTTGTTGTATCGCGGTTCACGTGCGCCGTTTCGCCTCGGAAAACTGTGATGCGTTTTGTGCCTTTTCTTGAGGTATAACCATTTTATGCGTTCATTTCTCTGGAATGCCTAAAATTGACGGTAGGCGTAGTTTCCTACGAATTTCCCAAGTCTTTTGATCTGATTGGGAAGTTTTACAAATATGCGATTTGGGGTTGGATAAAAGGGTTTCTGGGATAACACGTTATTGCAGTTGCGGTTTCTAAGTTGCGTAAACCACAAGGTCCCACAGGGATCCACGTTTGGCTACGAACTTTTTCTGGTTTTCATAAACGATCACTGTCGAACCACGAACGATAATGCATGCAGATGATGCCAAAATCTGAACTTCCCGGGACGAAACCTGAAGGTTCATTTGCATTTCAGGGAAAACTCACTGCAGCTCCATCAATGGTCGATGGAAAGTGGCATTGAAATATACTGTTATGTCTCTTCGAGACGAAACTTGGTTTGCGTACTGTCTCTGACATTAACAAGTTCCACAGGCCTCTTAGTGTCTTTGTTCAAGATAACTTAAGGTTTTTCATTAACGGACGTCGTCAACCACCCTCAAACATGTCACTTGCTAAAGCGAGTCTTTGACAGATTTGATCTTATTCTGGTCCCACCACTGCGATCAAGGGAGTGCATTCCAAGACCTGTGTGAATAGATCGCGATCAGCGGGGCGTACTCCAATCGTTATTGTCGAATTCGAGGATGCTTGATTTTGGTGTATCAAATACTGCAGAACCCTAACTATTCATGTGCCCCAACTTTCACCTCAGGGGGCATTCGTTCAAGTTAGTGCTCCAAAGCTGTCTAGTGGAATTCCGACCTCGTTCCCTTACCCTCAAAGTGTGCACTATTCGGAATTCTCTACCGCTCCATGTTGCTTCTGCGCCCGTAATAGATTCTTTCAAACGAGAACAGAATGAAACATTGGCCTGTCTTAAATTTTGACAACCCTAACAGTATACAAAACAGTGAAACTGTGTGATTTATGTGCCAAAGGACAATAACTTGTAAGCATTCCCCGTAACAAAACTTTGGCTTTGAATGGTGACTTTCAATGCATTTTATTTCCGACTTGTCTCCCTTTCTATAATGAGTAAATTCGGTTTCATTGATTGTTTAGAGGAGGCTGTTGTTTGCGAGGGCAACGGTTTTTTATTTGGCGTGTTCCTTTTCCGCAGGTATCTGTCAAAAACATTCATTGTTGCTTGGCCCTGTTATCCTTTTAGCAGGGGGTTGTTTTCAAAAGCAAGAACACTCATCTTGCGTTTCTTGAGCAACCGTCAATATCATCGGATCGAAAAAGCGGATAAATCTGGTTGTTCGTCTATTGGTTAAATTTTAGGACTCTTAGTTTCGTCATAAATGCAAGAATGCACCTTCTTGACATGGTGTGATGGCTTGTGCACCTCGCGCACCCAACGAACCACAGGATGGTTTTTGTCAAACAGAAGATCTAATCATGCCTGGACGGTCGAAGAGTAGAGGTCGGACGAAGTCCAGCCTTCTGGTCCTCCAGGTTGGGGGTTCGACTAGAATTTCCGTTTCAGACCGTAAAAATGGTGTCGAGTCAAGTCAAGTAAAGCTTTATGCACCCAATAGGTTGAATTTTCAGCATTTTCGACATGTTACAGTAGGGAAAACGAAGAAATATACATTTACTAAATGACAAACAAACGGATTTAGGTAAAATCCTAATGTGAGAGATGATTGTTCAAGTCAGCAATAATATTTGCTCGGTTGATCAAGATGCGAGCAAGATAAGGGATCAGACTGTTTTTATGTGTGGTGGTGTGTGCATAAAGAATCCGAAATTGGGAACGGGTACTCGGATGAAAGACCGATTTATTGAGATGGGAGTGCAGGCAGTGTTCTTCGTTGGACAGGACATGGCTGATAAATCAATCACATGAGTCAAAATGCTTGCTCACAATAAAGTCAACCAAAACGGTTTTTGAAATGCCGCTTCAACGAGAAAGAAGTTTAAGAGATCTGGAAAAGAGAATAAAGTTTTTCTCCATCAGACCAGGAAAATATACAGGGGAACAGTACAGTGGAGAGTACTTGATCCAAGTAAATGGGCCTCCACTTCGCTTCACCCGCTGCCTTGCGGCTAGGTTCTTCTCAGAAGTAAAGGCTTTGGTTGAGAACTCTAATCTTTCTCCTGCTTAGTGGCTGGCCCATTTAACCCCAATGTATATGCATTGCGAATTTGGCAGCTATCAATGAAGTTCATCTCACTGTATTTCGCTGTGCGATGATGATGATGATGAATGGTAGTTGTTACTATTATTAACGGACGGCTTGATTTCGTTTTAAAGAGGTAGATTGAATTGAGTTGCCCATTGTTTTTTCCAATGCAGTGATCCGCGAGGGAAAACTACCGATGTGTCATTAAGTTTCCCTTAATACCGATCGGTGCCAATTACAGACATGCAGGTGATTACCCATGAAATTTCTTAGGTGTCAGCCACGAGGAACGTCCCCATGGTCACTCGGTTTTAGGTCGAGGTGGTGTCTCCAGCCTTTTTACATCTGAGTGCTAACTACAAGGCTCACAGAGCAGTAGCGTATAGTTGCCGGTGGCTCTTTGAGGGACTCATACACCACTGACAGGTTCTGGCTGAACAGAGATCTTTAGTGATTCGTTGTCTTGGCCTCTGCATCGTGTGAGCAACTTCGTCTGCTCAACGCACTAGCACCTCATTGGTACGTTAGACATCGACTCGTCAAGAGTTTAGGTCCCGGTTACCCTCAACCTCGTTGGACGCGTTTGTCAGGCGGTTCACCGCGGTGTGGCGCTCTTGCATCCAGACAGCTTCTTGGAGCCACAGGTGAGAGCTGAGCACCTGGTGGCGATGAAAGAACAGAAAATACCCTAAAAGGAACGACAGCCCTTCCCGTCAGAGGTGCTACTTCTATCGGGCACCACATACGCCCCGGCTTGTTCTCTCTCGCGGGTCAGCCGCTGTAAACTAATGTAACTAAAGACATACAATAACCAGTCCGGAAACGTAATATGCATAGGATGTTGAATTAAAGCATATTCATTCACACTGCACATTGGTTTTTTTATCTGCGTTCTTGTATGTTGTGTGAATTTTGAATCATTACAGACCTCAACGCTCCCGATCCCTAAATCGACCGACCCGATCAGTTGAAGTGATCGATCCGCCTATCCGAATGCCACCACTACCGGATTCAATGAACCACATGGAGACGCTGTTGCGCAGTTGGTATGAAGCTGGTTACAACTTGGGTCGAGAACATGGGCTGAAAGTACGCTGGTGAAACTCGATTTTATTTCTGCTTCAATTTTTTTAATTATTAGCCTGTGTTTGGAATGCTGTATACGGTGCTTTTCAGGTGCAGTACATTCGCTTCATTGGTCGAGGGATTTGTGCCTTTCATTTTGCTACAAGGTTTCACTTTGTCGATAGCTAGGCTCATTATCTCGCTTCTTTTTGCGAATAAAGATGCTCATGTCATGATCTGCCTGGCATTCGGTCTGAACAAGGACCCGTATCAAGATACATTAGTTTTTATGCAAACGTTTCTGTTCTTTTTTATCATGTAGTATGAATTTGATTTGTTCTCTTGTGCGCTATTTAAGGAGATGTAACTGGTTAATGTCAGTTTGCGGTTGTCCTCGGTACGAGGGAACAGACTGCGACCCAACAATGTTCCTAACACACAAAAGGTCTACATACGTCACTGCTGGTCACATAGTAGTTTCTCTTAATTTTTCATCCTTATCGAGGCGTGTGGTACAATAGTTATGTACCAGGGCAGCACGATGCAGTTTCCTTTGATCGAAATGGAAACCGCCATTGTTTGCTGTGACAATACAGTCTTGGCTCTTCATAAATTCACATTTCAAACAGGGCACCGCTGTATCTTCTTGTCGTACACCGCCCTGTCCGAAAAGGTCTATGAACAGCGGCCTGTTCATCACTTTGTATACGGGAATGCCATCGTAACAAACGGTTTGGTCAACGATGGGAACTGAACTTCACATTTGACTCGGGTACTTGCGTGTCGTTGTTTGGGATAATTGCGATTGCTTTTGACTAACCTTCCAGGTTCCTCTTTACGTAATTCGCAATTCATCCATTCAGTCATACGCTTGGGAGGAGAAGATTCGAATTTCGCTTTTGTCAGAGGTTGTCAACACATAATACATATTCACTCAGCTGTCCGACTTTACTGGACCACATCTACTCAATACCTGCCTGGGAGACCCCATTAAGTACTGGATTTTAGATTGATGCCGTTCGATAGCATGCAGTCCCCTTTGTTACCGTCGGGCTGAATAATCCAACCGACTATCATTGAAGATAACATTTCGGCGCAAACCTAGATCCGGCCTTGATCAATGTTGTTGTAACTCGGTCGGCACAGTTGTACTTCTCTTTACTCCTCAGGTTTCCCCATCGTCTTTTGGTCAAATTCGACACAAACTAATCACAACAGTATTCACACCAAAATGCGGCTTGTCGTGACACGTGATACGTTTGTAAAACGGATTCTCAGCCCACGCGATGTGCAAGTTTGTCTGCGGATGGTGTGGCGCATTTCTACCCCAGATAGGAATTAAACAGTCTGAAACATGTTCTGATCACCATTGCCTCCGTACAGTGTCACGGTTGTAAATTCCTAATTAATAGAATATTTTGTTTATAACCGAAATGTTGCATTCCATCTCAGTACTCTAATAACATAATAAATGGATTAAGCTGGTCGCAGATGAATGCGCTGTCCAGTTTGAAACCCGCTTTTAACCTATCATCCACTCGTAAAATGTGAATATCACCTCGCAATATTGTTCGCGACTTCTATCCGCCTTCGCGTAAGTTGCTACTGCTCGAGAAAGTATTTTAACTCGGAGTTTCGAAGGAACAACTAAATGGTCGGATTCTGATGAACTTGTTTCCGATTGACCGCGACTATTGCGTCAATTGAACAGCTTTTGGATTGACGTTATTACCTTTGTATTGCATTGTACTGAAGAGGAATATCCAGGCTTTCAGCCAAAAGTAATCCACCGTTACGACTCTGGTAAAAAAAGGGTGAAAAATGGGATGTAACACATGCAAAAAGTGCATTAGAAAACTGAGAACGAAACACTTTCCTTGACGATCAGTATCCAGGCAGGACAGGGTACTAAAGAGTTTCCCTACGCCGATATGCGAGACGGGAGCAGCTTTTAGAAACGGTGGAGGGGTGGGATTCGCATGCACACAGGTCAGTGTGTAAAGGATGAGTGCAATCAGATAGGATATTGTCAAGAAATTTCAAACGCGCATCAATATGAGCATTACACATATTGTCAATCCGAACAGCTAACGGAACTTGGGAGACAGGGCTGATCATTGAAAGGCCACACCTCAGCAACTTGAAATCGGCCTTTAGCAAATCAGGGAAAATTACTGAAGAGCAGTAAAGGAGTACAAGGAGAACAATCTATCATCGCCAACTCTGAGAAGAGAAAACTTGTGTAACAATTGGTTATTCATCTCATGAAAAGAAATGCGGCATTCACAAAATACAAGCACGCAGTATGAAACTTGCCTTGAATCAATGGGATAATTTGGTTATGCATGCAATCGATGAAATTAACTAAAAGTTTCCGAAATTATGAAAGAGTTTCAAGACCGCTCAGAGCAATGTGACCTTGGTTTCATCGTGGTTTATGTTAAATTCGGCTCAAGGACGATGCGACGGGACTTGATTGAGTTGAAAAAATGAACGTCAAGGAAAGCCATTCATGCCTCCTCTGTGTCTGGTTAATTAAGTGAACGGATCATCGTTTGTGAAGGTGAAATCTGAATGATGACCTGTTACTATCATTTCCGGTATGTATCACTGTGGTTGTTCACAATGTCTAGCGCAGTGAATCGGTGTTTTCTGTGAGTTTAACTTACCAAGACTAGCGGCATGTAAAGTTTTATAGGATCCGTCTGAAAGGCTCGGATAGAATACTTTCCTGATTCCTAAATGGAAGAAGCGAATTTTCTTCATTTATTCCCCTTATTCGTGTTTAACGGAAGTGGTATCCTTTAGTAAGCGAATCCGTGTCGGAAGCTCACAAACGAACTTAACCGTAGTACATATACTACTTCCTATGAAATGTTACCACAGGTACTGTCTGAATGACGACGACACTTCCTCAGAACCGGTTCTTGCACTCGTTATGTTTACGTATCCGCCACTCTTTTTCAGATCATATATATTTGTATACGTAAGATTCGTTTAGCACCGCTCATACCGTCATATTTCGTGTCGCTTCTATCGTTTTTTTCTATTTTCAGAAAAACGCGGTGTCGGATACCTAAAACTTGCTCCTTCCGGCCATGCTCGTTCCTGTGATTCTCACTCAGCTCGT